TCACATGATGATGCACGTCTTAATAGTGGAAAGAGCAATTGAAAAATCAATGAATAATACTACAATTATCGTTGGCAAAGACATAGATCTATTGGTACTTCTCATAACACGCACACAAATACTTGATCAACCTACATCCATACCAGGGAAAAACAATGTTGAAACAAAAATATTCTCGACTGAGAGCCTCAACAAGTATCCACACTGCAAGAAAAATTTTCTCTTTCTACATGCTATGACCGGATGTGACACATCTTCAACACTTTTTGAGAAACGAAAAATTAAAGTCGTGAAGATGTTTGAAAAAAGACCCGATTTACACAATTCTGTAGAAATATTCCAACAAGAAAATTGCGCTTGAGATGCCCTTGTCAATGCTGAAATACATTTTCCACTAGCAATGTACGGTGCTCCAAAATCAGAAAATTTAATTACCAATTACAGATACCGCAGCTTTGCTTAACTAACAAGACAAAGCACAGCTGTGAATTTTCAATTATTACCACCCACTTCTTCATCAGCTCAACGGCATATTTATCGAGTCTATTATCAAATACAAACATGGCTAGGAAAAAAAATTGATACAGAACAGTGGGGTTGGGAGTTGAAAAATAATATATTACAACCAATAACAACTTTATTACCACCAGCACCCGATGATCTACTCAACACAATCTTTTGTAATTGTACAAAAGGTTGTGGCGGCAAATGTGGAAGTAAAAAAATTGGATCGAGATGTTCTAAAGATTGTGGACATTGTCGTAGTCGGTCATGCTTAAACGCAGAGTCCACTAGTGAAGAAAATGATGAAAATGTTGATTAAAATACAGCAATAAGTCCACTCGATGTTTTGTCGGCAACTTTTGATGAAGTTGAAATTGAAGATATCGACGACGAATGAATATAAAAAAAAATTATATACAAACATTTTTTCCCTATTTTTCAATGTACAAATAAAAAATTATTGAGCATAGTCCGAAAACGGTTTACTTTACAGAAAAATGCAAGAGACATTTTTTGTAGATAATCGTATGAAGAATAATTTTATAATGACATTTATTGACCTTCGAGTCATAGGTCGCGAGATATTCCCAAAAAATTTCTTTCAATATTTTGTAACATTCAAGTAAATGCATAGTATAGTATTAAAATTTCAAACAAATNTGCATTTCTTTAATGTCCCCCCTTTTTATTTTTTGAACGGGTCAACTCAAAAAATTGAAATTTGGGATAACGGAATTAAGGCATGAATACATTATTTTGATGGCGACTGGGCGCCATATGGGAAAAAAAATTAAATGGAGAGGGGGGTTCCTGACGAATACTTCACAACCATAGAATATGTAGTCAATATCTTCACCTACTACTAAATGGCGGAACATTTAGTAGTAGAACGGTATTTCTAGAAATATTCCTTTTTATCTGCCATATGGCAATTCCAACAAGCCGATAAGGTTTGTTAAGTTATTTTTTGTTTATAAAAACGACATCATTGTTCAGTTAGAATATTCTAATTTAGTTTTCGGTTTTACTAGTAGAAAGGTAACACAACAACAATCTCTAAAATGGTCAATTATCGTCCATTGAAAAAAAAAATTTGATCTATTTTTATTTACGGTGCGAAGCGTAACTTTCACGAAAGGATTTTCAATGAAAGTTTTCCGAATCGTCCTGTCTGTAGAAAATATTTGAGGGAACTTACATCCAAATTCACAACTACCGGTAGTGTACATAACAAAAAGCCCCCAGGTCATCCGTCCATTCCGGAAGAACACCAAGTACAAATACTTGGCGAGATAGTAGTAATTCCTGCACAGTCTACTTATTCCGTCGTGAATGTTTGTGAGGTGTCTAATTCCACTGTGTGGAGACTTTTGAATAGGAATAGGTATCATCCATACAAAATAAAATGGTACACCAATTAACTGAAGATGACCCCGAGCGAAGAACAGAATTCTGCGAAATCATGATGGAAACCATTGCAAAGCATCCTACCTATTTCCACAATATTTGTTTTAGTGACGAATGTACATTTTTTTTAAACGGCAATGTTCACAGACAAAATTGCCGTTATTGGAGTGACACAAACTCTTACGTTTTCCGGGAAACACATACCCAATATCCAGAAAAAAATTAACGTTTGGGAAACCATATTGTACGACCTCTATTTATTGATCAAAATTAAACAGGGGAACTGTATTTGAATATGCTGGAAACTACTGTTGACCCTCTCATCACTGAAATCGCCAAAGCGAATCCTAATGAATTCGATATGGATATTGTATTCCAACAAGATGGAGCACCACTGCATTACTTCAGACAAGTAAGAAACTATTTGGATACTACTTTTCCCGGTCGTTAGATGGCCGTCAAGGTCCTACAGAATGGCCAGCCCGCACGCCAGATTTGAAACCTCTGGACTTTTTTGTGGGGCTATTTGAAGCAAAAGGTTCGGCGTGAAATATCGGATAGGTTGTTCATATGTCAAAAAGTTCAAGACAACCATTTCGAACATCTTCTGAACTGACCTCAAGCTTATTACCTCATATTATGTAGTTAAATTTCAATGTATTCAGTCAATTATTAAAAGTTCCGCCATTTTATACTAGTTGAAGATATTGACATTATATTCTAGGGTTATGAAGCATTTGTCAGGAGCCCAGGCGCCATCTTGAGTCGCCAAGTTTCCTCTGTCAATTTCGCTTCAAAATAAATTATTCATACATTAATTTCATTATCCCAAATTTCAATTTTTTGAGTTGACCCGTTCAAAAAATAAAAAGGGTGGGACATTAAAGAAAGATATAAAAATTAGTACCTACTACAAACAGCGATTACATAGTGACGAAAAATAAATGTAAATCTAAATGGTGACTAGTCAATAGAGGAAGGAGTATAGTGAATAAATAAACAAACGAATCATCATGTTACCAAAACTTCAAGCATGTTAATCTCCACCGGAAAATATTTGTTATATATGTTTTTTGAGAGAGCTTCTGAATGTTGTCAGCGAGACACCAGCAGGTAATAGAGACAAACTTTTCATTTCATTATTTCAATGATATGAAATTACTGACACTCACAACACAAGAGATCGAACAATGATATCTGTAATTCTTTGTCATATGGAACAAGCAAAGATCACAATTACGCGTAGTTCGTTTAGGAATTCTGAATACTATTAGTTAGCAGTTCAGGAGTGATTATTTCCTTACATACTATTTTTAACAGAATCATTAAATCACATATTCCCACGAATTTCCGAAGAGAATTGCAAAGCATTTTGGTAGATGTAAGTTAACGAAGATAACGTTTTTGCAAAAATTTGTTGACACCAAATGAAAGTGTGTAATGAAATACTAAAAAAAAATTCTTCTCTTTCTTTCTATTTCGAAAAATGAGAGCTCTGAATCACGAAAACAACGTATTCAAAAAACACACTTTAATGTGAGATTCACACATGAAAGTTTACGAAACCGCGACACGTGTTTCGCTATACGATAGAATCTTCGGGCGTCACAATAGTATTGTAACTCTTGAAGGTGCTATTGTATAGCGAAACACGTACCGTGGTTTTGTGAACTTTCAAGTGGAAACCTCGCATTGAAGTGCGTTTTTTGAATACGTTATAATGGATTTTCATCAAGTATCGGTTAGGTCTACAATATTTTTCAAGAAAACATAATTTATTTGGGAAAGAAAGGTTTTGTTTTTCTACTTCTCCATCTTCATAAAACAAATGTGGGACTTTTCCAAAGCAAGGAAGAAAGCAATCAAATTGAAAAAAATTACTGTATACATGATTCGTGCATGATTATTTTACGCCAATAGCGTTTATTGAAAGAAATTCATCAGAACTTAATAATTTTAAACAGTTTTTCCGTATACCCTTCTGACATGGTTCTTATATATCCTTGGAGGCACACCACGTGAACTTTGATGTCGGCATTAGAGTCAGGTCTGACGGAAGTAATTTCAATGAAAATTGTGGAACCTTGTGAACAGCCGATGTAATTAATACACGCCATCAGTCCCAGTGGTCAATGCCAACTAAGATTCCAAAAGTCAGAGTCAGTATCAGGGTTGAGATATGTGTGATAGGGAGAGTGAATGTCACCCCTAGTGTTCATCATTCACAAGCCGCTTCCTTCGTATGAAAGATATATTCCGTTGATTTTTCCAGTCCAAAAATTGTAGTGTCAGATGATGAACAGAATAGGCCATGGGCGAAAAATGTAACTTCATTGTCTACTTTTTTACCTAGTTTACCATGTGGTATTCTGTGGACATACATTATATTTATAGCCATCAGAGGTGGTAACATGTGGCGTTCAACTCGTTATCCTAGTACTGTGATCATTTCCGAAAAAACTGCTACATAGAAATGAAACATACGAGCAAAAGTATTCAAAAACCTCGTGAAAAACCAAGTGCCACCATGGTTCAGTTGGGTAACAAAAACCCCTTTTCATACACTAGATACATAATATTCCCCATGAATTACAAACTCCTTCTGAAGAATGAATAAAAATTCCAAATGCATGAACATTATTTGCATTTATAATAGATCGCCTTGAAAAAAACATGCATCGAAACGAGCATACATAAATTATACCAATCAAGTAATTGCAGTTCGACAGACTGCAATAGTTATAATTGAATCAAATTGTTGAATCGTTTGGATTTCTGAGAATACTAGCGCCTGATCTGCCTTTACAAGGATAGCAGAACATGCATACATACATTTTTAATTCTATAATAGTGTCACATAGGCTCGTCCATGAAAAAGGTTCCCGTTTCAACCTGAACGATGAGCTTTTGAATACAGAGGGACTAAAAGTTTCACCTTCTAGTAAGTTCAATAACACTCCAGAACATTCTAGGGTATTCAAAAGCATTCCACAAAATTCCGGAACACTCTGGAATGTTGTGGAATATTCGATAATAGTCTGAAACATTCGTTAAATTATTATAATGTCTAATGAAAATAAAAAATCATATCACATTAATGAAAGTATAATGAATTCGGTTCCAAAAACACAAGAACTCTAATAAGATTGAGGTTTAATCCCGAATCAACATTCATAATCACATATATGTAGATAAAAGTTAGCAATGTGCGAGATACCCTGTACATACAAATCAATAAAATCCATAAAACTACGGAAATTAAAAATCACATTTGCTTTAGCCACTTGGAGGATATAAAAAATATGAGAGAAATCATTTTCATAGATGCTAACACTTTTGGTCTACTATCGTCTTGTTTTTCTCGTTGGCACTTTTCAGATAGTCCTCGTACTGACCCTTTCTCATAGGATCCAGTTTAGCCAACCTTTTGTAAAATTGGACTCTTCTATCGACGTAATCAGGATCATTGAGAACTAGGCTACCAGTTAGCCAACACTTGGCCATTATAACCCCTGCAACAGACATTAATTTAAGATTGCTTAACTATTTGAAGTACATGATAACCACAGAACAGTATAGACTGCTCTAAGAAAATGAAATCCGGGCTGATAAGCTGTAGTCCAATTGGATTTTTATCAAAAGTTTCGTCTGCTACTGCGGCAGGCATCATCATCAGTGGTATGTGTGTTATCTGTGAGGACGAAGTCATCGTACATGCCACTGCTTATATCTCGGAGTATCAGCAACTACTATCACTCAATGCACATACCACCGATGATGTCTGCCACAATAGCAAACGAAACGTTTTTGGTATAGTCGAAGTAAAGGATATTGTGAATTTTATGACTCTGAAGAGTCATGAAATTAAATTTGAAGTCATGTTACTGTGACGAATAGAAATCGGCGAATGCGGGGATGGTTATCGCCGTCGTGTTTAGTTCAGGAACTAATCGCGATTTGAGTGTTGAAATAGTGTAATAGTTCTTGACAACGCTGCCTATCAGCTCATCAAAATACCGAATAAAAATTTGAGGAAATGTGAAATACAAAGTTTTTTAATGGATAACAATTTGTATTTTGAAGATCACTATACCAAAACCCAACTACTTGAAGTTTTACAGACAAAAACACATGAAAAAGTGTATGTATGCCCTTGAGAGTATTGCTGAAAAGTATGGACACACCATACTGAGATTTCCCACCTACTTTTGTGTTTTCAATCCCATCGAGTTGATTTGGGGAAAATTGAAAATACGCATCATGCCTAACAATAATTTTCCAAAATTTGATAAGAATGTAATAGAGCTAATTAAAGAAGTTTCTAATATTACCGAAGAAGACTGGCTGAAAAGGATTAATATTATTGAAGCGGAGCTGTTGGAAGGTAGGTTGCACTTTATCGTTAACTTGAACTATACTAAGTACATGTTATTTTATTTGGTCGTGACTCCGTCTGTGAAAGCCTATGTTTTTATATTATGAAGTGTATTTAGTAAATCTTGAGTCATAAAAATAAATTCAACTCTCTAGGCTCTCATTTTGTCAATGGAAATGGGGGTCGCGTTCCTTAACTTTTCTTAGCCCACGCACCCCTAGACAATCATATTTAAGTACAGCAAAAAATAACTTCTTCAAATGAGATGGTTGGTACTGCTTTTCTGTAACTACGAGTAACTTAGTCATAATCTCGAATTGGATTCCAATTGTGATATCATTCTGTACTTGTTTTTGATATACAGTGCATTCCATTTGAAACGAGCCACCCTAAATAACTTGGTACAATGATTTTCAGAAAAAATAAAAAAACACGTCAACAGCAGGACGACACATTTGATGTTACTTCCCCTATCGCACTCCCAGAGCATATCACCAAGAACAGTTGGGCCAAATTCATATCATATGTGTATTTTTTTTGTTCTATGTATGTAAGCAATAAAGTCGTTTATTATTATTATTATTATTATCAGAAGCTCCATAACAACAAAGTATAAAACATACGGTCTGAAGCTTATGGTTCGAGAGCTACAAATTATTTGAGCTGAAAACGAGCCACCCTGAATTACTTTTGAAACAATGATTTATAGGGAATCATAACCTCTGAAAATGTGTGTATCTTCGAATTAAGGTATAATATGGTACCGAAATCTGGTTTGGAGTTAGGTAATACGAGGTCCGGCTATTAAATAACGAGACTGGTTACGAAAAAGGGTTTTATTATGAAATTTATTTTAATGCTCCCCTTAAATATACTCTCCCCCCCTCGCCATACACCTTTCCATACGTATTTTCCATTGACCGAAGCAGTGATGGAAGTCTTCAGTCTTCTTTGGTGAGGACCTATAGGAGCTTTGATGTTTTTTCAAATCGGGTCCCTTTCAAAGCAGATTTTATCTTCGGAAACAAAAAAAAGTCGCACGGTGCCAAATCTGGCGAGTACGTCGCGTGTTCGAGCACTGGAGTGCGTTTATCTGCCAAATACCGCTTCACAGATAGCACGTTATGGGCAGGTGCGTTGTCCTGCAAAATCCACGAGTTATTCTACTACAACTTGGGCGAACTCGTTCTCGCAGTATTGCCAAAACTGACAAATAGTTAGTCTGGTTAATATTCTGATCCTCTGGAACCCATTCAGTCATCACGATACCGTTAATGTCGAAAAAACGATCAACATTGCCTTGAATTTTGATTTGGACATTCTTGCTTTTTTATTCTGGGCGATTCAAGCGTCTTCCAATGCATTGATTGCCGCTTTGTTTCAATATCGTATTGAAAAATCCACGTTTCGTCGCAAGTAATAATGTTTTTCATCAGTCCGCGATTCTCTTCCAACCTTTCAAGGAAATCTGAGCAGACCTGTTGACGCAAGAGCTTTTGGTCAGGAGTCAGGTTTTTTGGTACCAACTTCGCACATACTTTTGTCATGTGTAGTTCCTCATGTAAAATTTTTCTAAGCGTTTCTTTATCGGCGTGTACAGCCTCGGCAATCATCCGGATACTCATTAGACGATCTGCACGCACAATTTGGTTGATTTTGGTCATTGTTTCCGGAGTGGAAACAGTGCGCTTACACCTCTCAAAAACACGCGCACGAGATACAGAATTGTCCCCATAAGCCTCTTGCAACAATGTACAACACTCCTGTTTTTCGTCACACATGGTTTTCGGCACGTAAAAAAACACGTTCGTCTGAAACCACTACTGCACAAATACTATAATAGTGACGAAAACGTGAATAGATTTCCAGATACCCAACGCACTACTCGTTTTTCCCCACCCCTCTAGGGGCGCAGTCTGGTTATTTAACAATCGTACCTCGTACTTGGAGGCTTCACACACTTTAACGTAATCTCAGTTACTTCAATACAGGGTGGTAAAAAATACAGTTTTTTTATTTGCTTGAAACAGTGACTGAAAGTTGATTATTTCAAATGGAACATCCTGTGTATTATTACAAATTCAGAAAGCTGAAATTTGATTTCATTCTATGTGTATCATGCGTATACCTAACTAGTCAAGTTTCGGAGCATGAGCATTTAATTGTGAAAATGTCCCTTCAGAATGGTATTCTCATTCGGTATTTTGTGAGCAGGCCATGCTTACTATTTGACAGTAACATTGTGACATTCTCCTAATAATATTGACTTCAGAAGTTTCAAATACCTCCAACACGATGGAAGAAAACTATTCAAACGAAGTTCTTAGTAATTTTTTTATTATTTTTGGACAGTGCGATAAAATTATAAGCAGAACATATAGAAAGTAGTTCAACGAAAGGTATCCGAATCTACTCCTAATGAACTTCAAGAAATTAATGCGATTTTAGAACAATTTCAATACTGAAAACACGAAAAAACTTGAAAGTGAAAATATTGATATGAATAGTTATGAAAAAGTAATAAAATCAAGTGGAATATTTCAAAATATGTTCGAATCGCTGGCCGTTCACTTCCAAGCACTTCAAAATGCGGGTGTTGACTGCTTTTGTCGTGGCAGATCTGATTTCATTGGGATTAAAATTTTAAAATATTTGGGTAATCCCTCTCGAAAGCTCGGATATTTTGTGAACTTTTTCTTTGAACATTCCCCATTGGTTTTTTTGGCCTTTGACTTCGCCGCACCTTTAAGATTACTGTATCGGTTACTTCGACTATACCGACTGTACCGTCGATATTCTTCGACTGTCAGATTATCGACGATGTTCTCTACAGTATTCTCCAAAATATTTAAGTAGTTTCTGGATGTTTATGATTCCTCATATATCGCGTAATTCAATTTGTTGTCCATTAACATGCAGAAGACATTGAAAATATTTTTATCTTCAAATCTGACTTCAATAATGACAATTTTTTTCCACTGAAAATACCTTCTCTAGAAAATTTCAATTCATCAGTTCAAATAATTTTATTTAAAAAATGGATCTTCTTGAATGCGTATCAACAACATTTCACAAAATTCAACTCTCTGTTGAGGGTCTTGAGGTTTCATTGCTTGAATTATGGTGAATTTATAATCATGCATTTCATGTATTCGCAAGATTCCTTAAACCGATGAATATTTTATACTAAAATCTCCTTCAGCACTTCTTATCGATGACTCAGAAAATGCGTGAAAATATGCTAAGACATTAATCTGGTTGTCTTCAGAAGTTACAGGTCGAGGCAAGTTTCTTGATGAATAACTTTTTTCGAGATCAATTGCTCTAACACCAAACTGATATTTTTGCACTCGACGCGCGTTTCGCCAACAAACTTAGCATCCTCAGGAGAAGAAAATTGATACCTAGTCTAGTCTGGTTAATCCTTAATTCCTAGGAGGCATATTATTCTCAGTACTTTACATTGAATTCGTAACATCATATTCAACCGAGTATGGAGATTCTATTCGAAGACAAACATTGCCGGAACTCGTAGCTAGTGAAGGTTATGCAGTGGAGAGTCATTACGTGCATACCCCCGATGGATACATTCTAAACGTCCATAGGATCCCACGCGGAAAAACTGGCAAGTCGAACAAGAAAGTAATATATTTGCAACATGGCATTCTTGATTCGTCGACCGGCTGGGTACTGCTTGGGCGCGACAGATCTCTAGGTTACATATTAGCAGACGAAGGATACGACGTTTGGATGGGGAACCTCAGAGGTAATGTTTATTCCCGAAACCACACCACGCTTGATCCTGACAAAGATTCCCAGTTCTGGCAGTTCAGCTGGCACGAAATGGGTACGATAGATCTACCAACGATTATAGATTATGTATTGAATCAAACGAGTGCCGATGGAATTTACTACTGCGGTCACTCCCAGGGAACCACTGTTTTTTACGTGATGGCCTCTTCCATACCAGAATATAACGCCAAGATCAAGGCTCATGTGAGTCTGGCACCAATAGCATTCATGAAACACGTGACAAGTCCTTTGCTGAAAATTGCAGCATTCTGGGATACGCCTCTAGAGTTTTTGTTGAAACTTATTGGTATGAACGAGTTTCTACCTGCGGAAGGATTTATGAAT